ATACATACAGACATAGTGACACCCTCGCGGGAATAGTCAGGGAAGCTTCCTAAGACCTTAAAACTTCGAGATTTGATGAAAACTCGATTTTTGTAAAACGGGGTGAAAACAATAACTTCCCGATTTTTGAAAATCTGAGATTTTTAGCGGGAAGTTAAAAATCTGGAAATCGGTTGACCGCGCAAGCCAACCCTATAGAACTTTCCGCTAAGTTTGAATTTGAAGCGCCTTAAAATGTGTTTTTTGGTTGATATTTGAGCTTTTCAAGCACCGTTTTTCACATTTTGAGCTCTTGGAGCTCAAAATATATTTATTAAACAACGATAACTTTTGAATCCGTGATTCGATTTTCATTTTCGAAAATGCATTCGACGCAGTTTTTTAAGCACAAAAAATGTATACATGGTTTGATTATGATGTTTTCGCACGCTTTAAAGTTATTTAAAAAAAAAAAACAAAAAATTCAAATTTTTTTTTGGTTTTTTTTTTTAATTTCTTCGGAATGGCTCGATGGATTAACTCTTAAATCTAATCAGATCTAAGTTTTGATAAGCCCTTTCGAATGACATGTCGTACAATTCAATCAGTTGATTCGATGAAACGTGGAGATCCGATGAAAACTCGACTTTCGAAAATCGGACCCAAATCAATAACTTCCCTTTAGTGGAAAATTTTCAATTTTCTTAGCGGGAAGTTAAAAAAAAATAATAATAATACTCCGTTAAAATCAGATCCCAAATATTGACTCGATAACATTATTTATGTGCGTAAATCAAATTACAATGAAATCGAATAATCAATTATTACATGTATCGATAATCATAAATTGATGAAACATCTATTGAACCAATAAAAACAGAATTGTTTACTCAAGACCAGCTCATTGGGTTTTTATTGGCGATATCAATCTCAAATAAAATATCCGACGAGTCATATACTTCTAATGCACTTTTTCAAAAGTTTGTAGACTTTACTCTGAAAGCTGTTGAGTTACGAGTATTTACCTTTTACACACAACAATTACGGCGCTATTACCTTGTAATGCCATTCATCGTAACTTGTAATTGCATTGTATTGTAGTTTTATGAATTTTTTCTTCATAAGCCGGTGAATAGATTTTCTTAAGTACGTCACTTATATTCAAGTTTATCCACTTAATCTATTGATTTGCGTCGAGATTGTTTTATTAATTCTTATAAACAGATGAAAAACCCGATTATTCATTCCGTAAGAACAGAGTTTGTTCAATTGTTTGAAATAATTGGCCTAAATTATTCCGAAACAGGAAAAATTAACATTCCAATGTGTTGTTAGCTAAGTAATTATTATCTGAATACCAAATGTAATAGTTACAAAGGAAGCAGTCAAACTGATACGTTAAAGTACATTATTTTTAAATCAATTTCTTTTTAATTTAATATGAAAATAAAATTATAACTAAATCATTGTAAAAATTTTGGAGTAATATTTTGTGAATTGATGAACTAAAATTATTTTGACTTTAAATTGATATCGTATTTAAAGGATGAATAATACGATAAAATTGATAAGCCTTTTTTCGTAGAGAATTAAATTTTCCACAAGAAAATATTCTCAAAATTTTTTTTATTCTTAATATTTAAATTAGAATTTTAAAATTGACCTTTTGATAACAACGGATGAGTTATACAACTTGATCTTTAAATTTATAACTTAAATTTCGAGAATAGAAAGAGGAGAGGGTAAAATTAATCACACTATTTCTGTAGGAAATTCAATTTTCTACTAGAAAGGTCTATGAATTTTTCCTTCTTCTCTTTCTATTCTCATAATTTGAGTAATAAAAAGTCAATTAAGATTTGAGAAATTAATTGAATTTTGAAATGATTGTCATTAGAGAAAAAAACGACTGCGTACATTATTTTTTCGTTTTTAGTTCTAAGAATATTCTAAACAAAATTCTAACGGTTCTAACTAAAAAGAATTTTTTTCTGTTCAACTTTATTTTATAAAATCTCTTAAAGTGAACCGTTGCAAGCGAATAAATGACGTCATGCAATACAAGTGACGAGTAGTGTGAGTCTTCATATATTTGTTTGTATACAATACGGTCATTGAATGAACGTAAATCCCGGGAAATCCAGTGCTTTGGGAACTTCCCATTCGTATTTATACTCACACACACACACACACACACACACACACACACACACACACACACACACACACACACACACACACACACACACACACACACACACACACACACACACACACACACACACACACACACACACACACACACACACACACACACACACACACACACACACACACACACACACACA